TTCAGGAATCGTTTAAATTATGCCGCACGACGTCATCTACACCATCTGAGCTCTTCGCTATTCTGTATGCTCTAAAGTTTATAAACTCGGTAGCAGACGCTAGAAAATGGGTACTTTTCAGTGGCTCACAGGCCGCATTAAGATCACTCTCCAGTACAAACTGGACAGTAATAAGTGATAGTATGAGATATGAAACGCTGAAGGAGCTCACTAAAGCAAATAAGGCGCAACATAAGATCAAATTCCAGTGGATACCTGGCCACTGCAACATTCCTGGAAACACAGCTGCCGATGAAGCAGCACGACAAGCACATCGTAAAGACGATACTGTTTCTTTACCGATTTCGAAAAATGGATTGCGTAGTATTATAAAAAATACAACTTTCAGAATGAGCAAAACTGCTTGGTTTGACCAAAGTACAAAGAGCTGTGTTTTATATCACATCGATCCATTTATTGAATTCAAAATTACGCTGGCATTAGATAGAAGGATGGAAACTCTAATTCACTGATTGAGGCTAGGCACCGCATACACAAAACATTTTTTGCACAGAATCGGCAGAGCTGAAACTCCCGAATGCGATTGTGGATTTATAGATGAAGACGTATGTTACCTTCTCATAGACTGTCCACATCATGACACGCCAAGACGCCGTCTTAAAAGCGAACTGTTCGCATTGGACCACAGATCATTTAGCATGAAAAAACTTCTGGGCCCGTGGCCAACTGGAGTTTTACAGTCCCACGCTTTAAAAGCATTAACACGTTTTTTACAAGACAGCGGGATTGCTGACAAGTATTAACAAAGAACAAGCTTTCATTTGTAACACATATACTTATTATATACAGTATCATGTGACACCCACCACGTGAGTGTTGTGAAATGAATGACGTGTCGACTATTATGTACATACGAGCGAATGCATCTTTATAAGGACCAGACGTGTGCTTTGTTGTTTTGTTGTTGTGTTTTGTGTTTGTTGTTTGTGTTTTGTTGTTTCCCGAGACTTCTTACAATGACTTTCAAACATTTACTTACCATTGTGGTAAGTACGTATAAGTGTGTCTTTGCATATCTGTGCCTGAGTTTTCTATTTTCCATGCACTGCTTTGTATGTTTTGCTTCAAGATACGTGTTCAAGTTTCAATCAACGGCTAATGAGTAGCCGGCGCCATAATGGTGCGCCAACATCTCCTTATATATCATATCAATAAAAAAATTGAAGTGTTCAATAGCCTGAATCTGACGCTGGCGGAAGCTGAAGACTATGACGCTTTAGTTAAAGCGTTCGAAGCATACGACTTGCCCAAGTGTAACGAGACTTACTGAACGCTGCGTATTTCGCTCTCATCGTCAGACCCATGGAGAACCATTCAAACAGTTCTTTCGGGACTTGCAGCTATAATCAAAAACGTGCAACTTCGGTGATTTAAAGGAGTCCATGATGATTGACCAAATTGTCTGAGGAATATCTAGTGCTTCCATGCGTGAAAAACTTCGCAAGAAGGCCCTGACCATTGTCACAGCAGTGGAATACTGCAAAGCTGAGGAACTTGCTTAATCGCAAAATAAGGCGTGGGTGGAAGAAATCCAGATTAAACCAGTCTAAGGAATGCCAGATAAGAAGGGGCGAAAAAATGTCGCTACTGCAACTTGCCGCCCGCGCGAAGAAGTGCCTGGCATACGGAATGATATGCAACGATTGCATGAAGCCCAATCACTTCGCCACCTGCTTCATGGACAAGCGAGCGGCTGTTGACGACGTGGTCAATGGAACTGAGAGTGATAGCAACGGGGACTTCGACGTTCTGGAGATCAGGATGGCAGAAAGCAAGCATGGCCGTGAAAGTCGCATTTGTACTGTAACAACTAGCATTGAAGGAAAAGAGGTGCAGCTGAAGGTCGATACCAGAGCGCATGCAGGCTAACTTACTGCCATGTTCACTGTTCAACAGGCTCGCTACTAAGGGGCAGCCGTGCCCCACAAGGAGCGTGTTGCGTCATTATGGGTGTGGCGAAATACCACACTGTGGGAATAAGGCTCACCTCACCATGCAGTTAGACCAGCGACGTGTACTGCTCGAGTTTTTCATCGTAAAGAAGAATCAAGCCGTTTTGGGCCTAGCGAAAAACTTGGTCTCGTCAACAGGGTCAATGCGGTGGACAACAGTGACGGATACGCAAGGCTGAAGCAGACGTACCCGCGGTTATTCACTGGAATTGGAAGGATGCAGCGCGAGTACGAAAATTGGGAGACCCTTAAGCTTCGCCGTTTAGAGGTAAATGCGACAGAAAAATCCGGCCCCTAGTGCGCTCTTCAACCACTAAGTGCATACTTATCAATATGTTTTGTTACACACACACATACATACACACACACACGCACGCACGCACGCACGCACGCACACACACACACACACACACACACACGCACGCACGCACGCGCGCGCGCGCGCTCGCTCTCAAGCGTGACGTGTATATAGTAATGAAACAGGTTTTGATCTATTTACCAGCGCTTTTATAAAAATATTGTACAGTGATATATTCACATGGTCGTGTAGTATGAACTCCGCGTAACCGTGACACTTGTATTCGTAAATGGTCACATTCTGTCGTCCGTCTTGCGTTAGTTATCTGGTAAAATTGTTGGTCTGTTGTGGAGACCTCTTCAGGCCAACTGCAATGAGCATTGCACTATTGTCAGTTAAATGGCAACTGCTGTACTTCACTTCTTTCAATGGTGTCGTGAGAATGAAAAACTAAATCTGTGCAAGTGTTGTGGTTTGTTGAAATGGCATTTTCTTGAAGGGGCATAAAAAGTCTCACAATATTTCGCAGATGACAGCACATTGTCCAGCGTTTGCTGCATAAAGTTAGGGTTTACTGTTTGCTTGATAAACGCCTCTGGAAAGGCATGATATGTTTTCCGCTAGGTGTACCTAGTTGTCGATTTTTGGAGCTGTCTGAAAGTTGCTGTGTGTTTTTAGCGGCGGTGGCTGCACTATCCCGGCCTTTTTTGATGTACTTTGATGGCCTCCCAAATGCGCCTACAAATGGCCGAATAGACTCGTTTTCTTCGTGACACCTGTCAAACAAAATTCGTTAAGGAGGCTTATTCCACTGCATGAGATTTATGTAGTGTTGTCTTCTAGAGCAACGTTTTATTTGCTTCTTTCTCAATATTTTGCTCATGATCGAGTTTTCGCTCACAACCAACGGTGCCGACGCCGACTTCAGAATTTCTGTCACACGAGCTCTTCAACGCTATCGTGTTAAAATGGTGCTTCGGGAAGACGTGGTCCCTGTGGAACAGCCAACCAGGCATGTGGCTTACGCACTCCGAAATGCGCTCAGGAAAGAGCTCGACTGGATGTGTGCGGCGAACATCATCGAGAAAGTGGAGCAACCATCAGACTGGGTTAGTTAGTGCCTTGGTTACCGCAAGGAAGAAAAATGGAAACTCAAGAGTTTGCATGGACCCGCGAGCAATTACTCAGGCCACAAAAAGAGAACACTTTCAGTTGCCATGCAGCGAAGAAATCAAGTGTTAGCTAGCGCAAACAAAGTATTTCAGCAGAGTTGATGCAAAGAGGGGTTTCCACAAGATCCCTGTAGATAGAAAGTGAACTATTTCAAGTTCTCATTTTCCCAGATTTAATGAACTCGCCTAGAAGGGCGTGCAAGTGGTCAAGCGGATTTTGGACAAGACGGGGAAAGGTAAAGAAGATTTTTTATTTGGACCTTCTGAACTACAGAGAGTGCCCTATTAAGGATGGCCACTGAGCAGCATAAATGCTGGTGGACGAAGCCTCAGAACACTGCTTCGAGATTTATCAACATCACGCCCAAGGCCCGTAGAAAACTTGTTCAAGCAAAGACCACAAGAATATCGCTAGCTCCACTGCAGAAGGAAGACGTCGTCCGTGTTCGCAACAAAGGTAGACGGGAAATAAAAGCGCAGGTTCAAGATCTCGTAGCACAAAGGTCGTACACCGTTGTTATATAAGATGACTGAAGGATGTCATCGAAATAGACAACACCTCCACAAACGCCAGAAGCGTCCTGTCGACTAGCCCGTTACAACGCTGACGACAGCGACGGGCCCTTCCGAGTCAGCTACAGGCGAAGTCATACCACACGGGCCAGAAACCCGGCAAGCTAGACAAGACAGACTACCAGAACGACTTGGCAAGCTCACCTAGCACCATGGATTTATGTCGACAGATCCACCAGAACCCATAGACCAACAAATTGCCTGGCCTACACTCCCGGAATCCTAGCAGAATGAAACAGCCTTATAGGAATGTCGACTATTGCCAACTAGCGTTCACAATGCATTTTGTGTGTTTCGCCTTCAAATAAAAGATTCAAAGTGGTACTGCCGTTCAGTGTTGTGTTCTGAGTAAATTTTGTGTGCTTCGCCTTCAAAGAGACAGGATGCAACGGGCAGTCAACAGGACAACACTGCGCTGCCACCTAGAGCAACGCCTGGCAACGTTGTACGCTAGTGTTCAGTTTGTATCAATAAACCAATCTTTTTATGGGCACCACCGTGTGCAGACGCTCTCTCCAAGACGCTCGTTACAACTTGCGCCTCGATACTAGCACACGTACCTCAAGCATTTTTACCTCCATTGAAAGGCGGCTGCCGTGGCAGGAACTCGATCCCGCGACCTGCGGGTCAGCAGCCGAGTGCTTTAGCAACTAGACTACCACAGCGGGTGTGACACAATTTTGAGCATAAGAATCGGGCGTCGTTCCGAATTGTTCCCGGGCATTTGTCAGTAGCATATAAGTGTTGTCACACAGAGATATGCTAGTACTTTGAACTGTTTCAAGAAATTCTGGGATCACTTGCTTTGAGCAAAACAAAATAATGAGCTGCAGGGGAATAAGTCGATGAAGGACTCGCGCACAGGATGGTTTGAATCACACGTGAAATTTCATCAGCCGCTTAAATTCGTGCGAAATTAGGACACAGGTTAGAAAGGCGAAACTCTCGTTTCTTAGTGCTTGTGCTTTATTAGATTTACTGGCAGATCTTCGATAAACATGCCCTGTACCGAAATCCACAAACACGAGTGGTCACTTTTGGAATAAAAGTACAATGAGGTACTACCGTTGCGTTGTTGCTCTTCGTCAAAAACAGCACCCCGAATACACCAAAAGATTTGCTAAGATGCATCAAATACAGATCTGCAAAGTCCCGACCACACTATTCTGCAGTGAAAGTTAAATAAAGTTTTATCAAGGCTGAGGTCGGTTGTACTATTGCACACTGAGCAGGAATGACACACGCCCAAAATAGTTTTTTTGCAAACTTAAGCATTTTATAAAAAATCATCTTGGAACACTTTGTCAGAAACTAGAGATGGTCAATCACTGTAGAGGTGTATGACTAAGAAACTCGTGCACACATGGCGTCGTCAATGCTAAAGCACTTGAATATATATATGGTAGCTTGGAAGGCAAGCTATCTATTAGAAGAGTATCGCTCCGAATATCTCATTGGAAAATTCTCGATTTCATAACGCCTTTTCTTTTAGGTAGGCGTCCGAACACAAGCTTATAATTGGTAAGGTTGTTCCCAAAGCGGTGTCATAATTACTTTTCTTTATTTCGTTAGTAACAACATAGGGGCAATTTTCGGTAGTGCTGGAAATCGAGCATATCACATCTTCCGTACAATGCGCTACACTTATTCACCTGGCTCAGATAATAAATATGGTTTTGTTAATTTTGTATAAACCTCAAGGGTGTCGCCTCGATGGAAGAACATAGTCTTATGACCATACATGATACCTGGACTACCCTCCTTATCGCCATCAATATTCTTCGAGAGTGGATTTCAATGAAAGCAGCACATTTAGCTAGCTTTGCATGCCGCCTACCCTGTATTAGCCTTACTATTCTTGCGGAAGCTTAATTTTAATCAACTCGTCTGGCCGACCCGCTCTTCCACCAGGACAAGTCTTTGAAGGACACATAGGTTCGAAGGAAATGTTTCCGTTGAGTAATGGACCGGACCACCAGCACCGTAAGCAGTATTGCCACTCCAAGGCTTAGTCCGGCAAGCATGTAATAGAGGCTGTCGTAGGAGCCACGTTTGTCTCTGAAATAGCCTGAAAAAAGAAAGAAAATGTATGTCGTCTAAAAAGAGTATCTGTTAGAAGAAAACAAGCAGTGATGACTGTATTGCAAGTAAGTTTTTTTTTCTGGTAAACACATACATTTAGAGTGAGTTATAACGTGCATATAGAAAATTAGACTACCTAACGCAAGGTATGCCTCTGAAGAAGTTTGTATTAACCAAATTTATTGGGAGAAATTCAAATGCTTACTAACATGACTTATGGTCGCAAGTGGAGATAAGGACATATAAAGAACTGACTACGGACTTAGGACATGTCCTGTGGGGCTGTGCTTTTGCCAGTCCCCTTTCCATCAAGAAGAAATTAAGAGGCCTCTTGCGGCCCAGGACCCGACATATTCGAATCCTGGCCTTCTAGAGGGCTCAACCGAGGGCGCGCTCAGGTTAAGCCTGACCATGCCCCAGTGGGCCTAGCTAGGTGACGTCGAGTTATTTCACGGCTACTGTACACCTAATAAAGTCGTTTCGCCCACTCATCACTGACTACTAAGTAATATATAAGGAAAGTGACAGGCACACCGCACGTGTCGAGTATACAAGAATATGACACCAATAATCGTGAGAAGGAAGCATATTTCCTCAATAACACCTGCGCATTAGGATTCACAAGGTGCACTTCGGCAGCAAATAAAAAACTGATGTGTAACAAAAAATCACAGTGTTTACTTCTTATAATTTACACTGAAAAGAGCTTGTGCTTTTTGTTAGAATTTCCACACTTGGACTATAGGCAGCAAGCAACAAATTTCTCTTGTTTTATAAACAAGTGGAGAGGAACTACTTCCGGCGGATAGCATTTAATGATTTAAAACACGGTACAGAATAAACGTAGGACTTCACAAGCACGGCAGCGCTCCAGCGTTTGCATAGGTCCTCTTAATGTTAGTTTTTGATCCGCTGTATGCTGTGAAGCGTGCCAGCGTCAATCATTGCAAGTGCTACTTTCAATGAGCCCAGCCTTATGTCATGCTTTATGGCAGATGGCTAATAAATTGACTGCGCCTCTTAAAACAATAGTATTTATAGTTGTTTAACGTCCCCTGAGTTGTTTGTAAACATCGCACATTTTGGCCTACATGTCTACCGCTGATATTTGAGCTCCTGGGGACAATGGCTCACACAGATGCATCTTAACTATGAAGTTTTACAAATGTTTATTCTGTGTGTCCTAATCGGCCTCTACACATTTTGGGGCTTATTTATGAAAGACTGAATGACTTTCAGTGTGTCCTTACTCGGAGCGGCCAGTATTTCTTTGAGGACAGTATTCCCAATTCAAGGCGTCGCATCGTGATATATCAAAACGGGATCTTGTAAATATATGAGGATACAGATTTTAAACAATGGCTAATTCAGCCTCTGAAATTTGCGTCGTCCCTTCTTTATTTTTGTGCGCCATGCGATGTTACTGATTCGCCATCATTTTATCGCCTTGGCACGCTTTATTGTCTTGCAGTAATAGTAGACCACCCACTAACTCCCATTTCATTGGCGTAGCCGGAGCTAGCACATCGATCCCGTGCACCCCCCCCCCTCCCCCGACAGGTACTTTTTCCACGTGCCGACAAAGCGATAACGGCCATTTGAAGTTAAAGGAGGTGCCCTACCTCCCGAAATCAAGGCGTCTCTTCCACCACCAAGAAAAAATGGCTACACCACAGCCCTGTATATTCAATCTCACCCACGTTTATGTTCCTTCTACACTTCACCAGCGAAGTGTTCAGGAAGGACACTCGGGTTAAGTTTCTTTCTCGAAGGCGTTGCCTACAATATTTTCTCATTCTCTCAGTAGCATACTGCTACCCTCAGATGTGGTTAGAAAACTTTCAGTCATTCCAATCTCTCAAGGTTGGCGACAAACATAGCTATTTAGCAAATGATACAGAGCGGACATGATAGGGGTGAGTTTCCTATTCATGTTCAGATCGTGAAGATTTCCAGCAGCGTTCAAACTGCGGGGCCAAGGTATACCACGGCACATCCAACAACACTAGCACCGAGGTGAATATTAGGTCACTTTTGCTTGCCAAGCCCACCGTAACAAGACAATAAAATCCGCGTTGCGGTATGTGAATCTGGCGTTTTTTTTTTTTTGTAGGCTCGGCCGCAACACACACTGAGGACCACAACTTCATGCAAAAGGTAAAATGAATCTTCTTAAAGTCCGCTTCATTTTTAAATAACAGTGAATTGCTAGGAAGACAATTCATTGCATTGCGGTATGACTGCCATAAAATTTTCTAACCCTTAATGATTTTTTTCAGGGCGACGATGAGTGCGTGTGTCCCGGAAGAACATGGGAGCGTCAGTTATTGAATGGATTTTAAAGTGTTAAAGCGTGGATGGCTAACGCCAACTTGTGGAGTTTGAGCAATCTGGACTTTAAGAAGGAAAGATCCTCTTAGTTTAACCTTACGCCGCGGCAGGCGTAACCGGCACTATTTCACGAAAAGTATAATAAATAGCGCTGTTTTATAGACGAACATAGAAACTGAAATTGAGTGAGAATATTCAAGATGGTGCTGTACTGCTACTCCTCGATTGCCTGCTGCGTGGGCTGTACCTCGATGTGCGGGAAACGAGTGCCTCTTCCAGTTTCCTGGATCACCGCCGTACGTGTCTGACCGTTAATGGGGCATGAACGAAGTAGAGCGGTGGGCGCGGAGGGCCTCGAAGGGCCGTGGCGGTTTGTGCTTGTCGCCTCGTTGGTGGAGCATGAACAAAGCGGAGTGGAGGGCCTTGACGGCTTATCCATGGAGGGCACGGATGGACAGATGGACGCACGGACCTACACATGGACAGATAGGCAGACAGACCGACAGACAGATGGGCAAACACACAAACAGACACCGAGACAGAGAAACAGACGGACGGAGGGACAGATAGACTGATGAACGCACGGACCAACGAATGCATGGTGGAACGCACGCACGAACGCTTCGCCCACTCATCATCATTCACTCCGCAGATATGCTGCGATTTTTGCTCGCGCATGCCTTAAATCATGTGTCTCAGCGATTTGGACGTATCACTAAAGAAAAGAAAATGTGACGATAATTAAAATGAGAGCTACATAGGCAATATCAAAAAGAAAAAGCTACTGTGGAGGCGACACATCTCGGATTCTCACTGCCGTCACCTCCACTATTGGCATTGTACAAAATCTCTGCAGAGTACATTGTGCACGGAATGAGAACAACCATCCCATTTCTTTAGCCCTGCTGGTTCAAGAGTTTCGAAACACTCATACTTCGCTTAGTCAGGGTCATTTGTCTCGCCAACACACACTGACAAATAATCTTTTTTTCTTAAGGCACTTAACCTAAGTATAAGGCCGCCAGATAAATTATATACTGCCAGAATGACAATGACGATACCGCGTCTTTTGTGTAAGTGCTATTGTTGAGTAGGAAGCTTTATGTAAGCAATAGGCTGCAACATAAAAATATATACCACCAGAACGACTCATATACAAAGCTTACCGCTACTTGTTGACGCGTGTTGATTGGAATTCAATAGAGAGTGCTCTGTCACACGCCTTAATAGGAACAAAATGCACTTAGAACAATATGACCATGGCTGAAGTACGCAGATCTTGCGAATGCAAGAGTGAAGTAAATATGAAGAACGACGTATTAGAAAAAAATACTCAGCTAAGAAAGGTTTTTTTAAACAGTGAAGCTGTAAAAAAATGGCTATTCGTTCTCTTCGTTACAAAAAAAAACGATCTTCCTGAACAGGCATGCCCCCCAGACATTCATACAATTTCATTACTAACCATTGGTCCACTGAAGATAAAGAAAGCAACAGTTCGCCCAAGAAACAGGTGCGTGGCACTGAAATGTGTGCTCTATTAGAAAATGTGGAGTATAGCAAACGGCTACCTGCCACTGAAGTTGAGTAAGTCCCACTATGCCAAACTACCACAAAGAGGAAGGAGGCAACTGTTTGGCCAATAAAATTATTAGGCGCTAACTCTATGCCTATTACAGACCCGCTCGTACCCAAACCTTTCCAAGCATTACGTGTATTATCCTGATGCATACCCCAGCGACACATGCCCCTCGTGTTGACACACGGCGACACTCTCACACATTTCTCTGGTATTGTAGAAACGTTCGTCCCAACTCTACCTCAAACAAGTGGGAGAGGTCACTCAGGAGCTCAGTTCTCACCGACCAGCAACGGGCCGCCAAGCAGGGCCACAAAGCGGCCACCAGGTACTCACTCTCGGTCCCTACGTGGGATACACCTGCTACGCGCTAAGCACGTTCCGCCAAGCTAAAATCGAGTTTACTTCATCATTTCATTCAATTTTATTAGGACTGTTGTGATAGTGTACCGAATTAGAAGATACAAAAACTAGATTGATGATTGATGTGTGGGGTTTAACACCCGAAAGCCACCGTATGATTATAAAAGGTGCCATGCTGGAGGGCTCTGGAAACCGCGACCACCTGGGGATCTTTAACGTGCACCCAAATCCGAGCACAAGGGCCTACAGCATTTTCGACACCATAAAAAATGCAGCCGCCTCAGCCGGGTGTCGCCGTAACCTGCGGGTCAGCTTCTGAGTACCTTAGCCACAATAGACCACCGCGGCGGGGTAAACTACGCTATCTTGGTGAATCCCCCATGGTGGGTATGTGCCATATTCTGTGGCGCCCAAACAAATAAAATAAAAACGTTGCTGCAAAGCCATGGCGGTGAGCTCAAGACCCAAGTACGTACAGCGAGAGAATACCAGGGAACGGGAAATGCAATGGCGGCTGCGAAAAGACCCCGAAGCGATGGAAGGAATAAGTCAATCACAGTGTGCCCGTAGACCTATGAGAGGTGCTAACGCTCGGTTTTAGCGTGAGTTTCTCTCTCCGGCATATTGTAAATATTAAGCAGAACCTTTACTCTCGCAAACACTCACACAAGCACTCACACATCCACCCGAGTAACGCACGCCACGCAGCCCTCACT